GCTAACGGGGTCAATCAATCGTCATTTTGTAGAGCGTTTTTTACTGCATCTTTTCTTCATAGAGACAAATTTACAACCACTTGTTTCACTATAGAAAAATTTATTATTTAAATCGAGTCAGGACTTCTGGCCCACCCTTTATTGCATCGAATAAGCATAAAGTTTGACTAAAAATTTCTCCAGTAAAGCATACGTCTCATGTGAATCTAGAAAATTATTTATTTTCTGCGAGTTAATTCATACGAGCATTTTGTCTTACTTACGCGCTTAAATTCTGAATAGTTCTCAAATATTATACACTTTCTTTTAGGTTGAAAAACTAAAATCTAAGCGTGCCGCGTACGATGAGTCACAACAGAGACAAAAAAAGATGAAAGTTACTTGATAGATACCAAGCCAATGATTATCCCTTTTTTGTTTAATTTGTCGTTTTCTTCGTGTTTTCGGCATATGTTATCTGTCAATTATAATAAAAAGTATATTCAAATGAAAATTATATCATAGTTATCTGGAGTGCGTAAAAAAATTCTAAACAAAGTATAACATAACAAGTTTACAGAGTACGCTGTTATGGACATGTGTAGTCATCAAATCGATTGTTTGGTCATGTCAAGTGTCTATTTTACTTATTGACTTATGAATTTCTCTGCATTTTTCTCTTACCATTTTTAGAAAATATAGGACGTTTTCACGTCAGTGGTTATATTTAATAATTTCTTGCATACGGACGTATTCGGTTATATAACCGATCGTGATTAAATCTAATTCAGGTGGTAGAATAGCGAAATTCATACCTCACACCTCTTTACAGGGTGTGTCAAGAAAAAGGTACCGCCCTCCTTCCTGTATTTATGATCGAAATAGAAAAAAAAAAAAGAAAAGTACGAATATAATTGAACTTTTTACTATTAGTGTAGTCGAGTAGAGCAAAGATTTTTGGACAAAATGAGATGTCTCTGAGCTCTCTAATAGCTTTTCTCATAAAACAGCATTCAATTTACGGAAGGCACTAAGAGCGTATCTTTGTTGTTTTCCTGTTAATTGTCCTGATTTTGCTGGTATGAGACCTTCCGTAAATTGAATGCTGTTTTATTAGAAAAGCTATTAGAGAGCTCAGAGACGTCTTATTTTGCTCAGAAGCCTTTGCTCTACTCGACTAAACTAATGGTAAAAAGTTCAATTATGTTTGTACACAAGAAAGCCAATAAATACAGAGGGGGTAAGTTTTTTTTGGAGCGCCCTGTACGTGTTGATTATAAAAACATCGAAGCTTTGAGTGTCTTGGAAGTTGTATGAAGAATCGGTACCCTCAAGAAAATAACTTCGACTTTTTTCTGTGAAATTAGACTATCCCATTGTCAATTTTTTACGAAGGTTGGCTCATCAAAACGCGAGTTTTTTATAAAAGAGCACGATACCAAATGCATTTTTGTGTTTGAGGATAGGGTTTCCGATCAGAGGGATGCTGGGTCTCCCCTGGAAAACTTTTTGGACTTTCTGGCAAAAGTTTGGACTCTTTTCCATCTTTCAACTTTCTGCCAAAAATGTCGAAAACTTTTTTTTCGCCAGCGAAGCAAAATTTTTAGCCCCTTCCATCCTTAAGAACAACCGGAAATTCTGTTTGAGGGCGTTTTTTAAAAGAGGAATTTGTGTAGAGGTTTTATTACGTGTCTCCTTCAAGCTCGCTCAAATGTATTTTTTCCATTATATTAAACACATATCATAGATTGTCGTTTTAGAGAAAAACTGTTTTTAGCGGATTTTTTCTATATCTCGTTCAAAATCACATCTAAACACAAATATTTATCTATTAATATTTATTTATTTATTTCCATAGTGCTATACAATAGAAGAAGTTTTTATTCTTCCCAACCAAGTTACAAGTAAAATGAATATGATTTAGATTATGAATCTAGACTTCTTGAAGGCATATTAATGAAAATGCTTCCCAGTTTGGACTTAAAACTTCGGAGAAAAAAAATGTTTCAAAGCTAACTGAGTTTCCGTGGATGAATAATCAATATAAACTTTCCTAAACTTTAATCCAATCCAAAAGTTTACCAAAATGTTCGTTCACATACACTGCATTTATGGTGAATGCGTTTCTTTTTCTACTATCCATTTCAGAATACAGTATACTCAGTTGTTTTTCGAATAACTCAGAAATAAAATGTGGTAGAGACTTGCGGTTTCAATAGTTGATAGCCAAGACCTTTAGGCATATTTTCCTAACCAAACACATTTTCAACAAAAATTTCATAGGCCAGTTTTCTCGAGGATTTTTGATAAATCAGTTCGGATTTCTGCAGCATGACATAGCGACCTATCGATTTTTCTTCAGCGATAGATAGTCCAAAGTGTTTTTGTGTCTACAAATAACTCTTTTATAATCTCACTGTACACTTGGTCTGAAGATCTTACGTTAAATTATATGTCTTTAGTATATCATCTAAGCTTTCTCGCCGACGAATCTGTTTTACACATTCATCTGTATCTAACGCATATTCAGCTACACGTGGTCTAATGTTATAATTTGAACTCATTGTCGCACAATATGCACCTGTATCAAATATGCCTAGATACTGTCCTCGAATCAGCGTAATCGGCAGATATCGATCTTTGCCAAGAAAATCTCCGCTTTCACATACCGGTCCAACAACATCGAACAAATCTCGATCATGTTCCACATATTGTTGTGGTTGAAGAGTATCAATGTGATGATAGGCTTGATAGAGCGCCGGTCGTATACATTCTGTCATAGCTGCATCCACAATAATATATTTCCGTTCTGGTGCCTGTTTATAACCGAGAACACTGGTTACCAGTATACATGTATTAGCCACTAACCATCGTCCCGGTTCTACAATTATTTCGATGCCAGTTAATTTCGTAGCTAAACTTTTAAAGCATCGAATATATTCGGAAGGCGTTGGTGTTGTTGTGTGTAGAAGTTCGTTTTTACTTGTTCGCTGTGCATATTTCAAATAGTCTATATTCAAACCACCACCGATGTTCAAATAACGTATGTTTTTAAATTCTTTTCGAACGCGTGCATCTTCGACAACATCAATCAGAGCTGTTACACAATCAGCCACAACTTGTACATCACTAATCGTGGATCCAAGATGACAATGGAAACCGAATAGCTGAACAATATTCTCGTTATCTTTAATCGTTTCATACAATAGATCGAGTTGATTCAAACTCGTACCAAATTTACTGGTTTTCAAACCTGTCGAATTGTAAGCATGCACCTTTGGATCAATGGACGGATTAACACGAATCAATAAACGGATGGGTTTATAAGGCTTCTCAATACTAATCAACAATTGACGTTCAGCTATTTGAATAATCTGTTTTAAATCAAACAGGCTGTCAACGTTAATGAATATTCCGTTTTTAATAGCTAACTGAATCTCCCAATCACATTTACCATTTCCATTTAATATTATGTTTGATGGCTAAAAAGAGCCGATCAGACAAAAGATCATTCCATCAGGCTAAAATAGTTACCTGAAATCCTAAAGTCAACGCAAGTTGTACTTCAAAACCACTGACAGTTGTTAACATAATACTTTTCTCCTGTTCAATTAATTTTCTGATTAAAAATGGATTGAAGTTAGCTTTCATGGAGTAGGATAAATGTGAACGCATTGGAGCAAGTTCTAGTAATGCATTTTGAAATTTTCCTACATTCAAATAAAACTGTTTCATACTGTAAAGAAAAAACGGTGTTGGAACGGTGCCATCGTGAATTTTCTCGGATATATGTTGAATTATATCAGTTACGGTTGTATTATCAATATATAACACATCATGGACGTAATGAAATCCATAAATCATTTTCAGTAGTACAAATGTAACTAATAGTACTAAAGAATAGTTTAATTTCAGATATAAATTCTAATCTTTATAAAATTTATTTTTTTTCTGTTCTACATATTTTTATCCATTATCTACCTTTTTTATCAGCATGAAAGAAAATCTCATTCAAAGTTTAATGTTAAGTAAATGTCTTATTTATTTATCTATGCTTTTAATAACAACAAGAAAAAAAGTGTTTTATTATTGCCAAACACCTACTATGTACACATTCAGTCACAAAAGTTTTACATTTGATTACTACTAATAGGCATTACACAATTCGTAATATTTAGAACTAATTGCCTCTTCATGCACTTAACGTTAACACTTATTTCATCATTTCTTTCTAATTGGAACATGTTTGTGATAAAAATTGTTCAATATTTGATTTCACTCCATCTTTCATATCACACATTTAGAGAGTGAATGATATAAAAATTTGCCGCAGAATATAACATGATTTATTAACAACTCTTGGTCTCTTATCTTGCATAATCAATGGAATCAAAAGAATAATATTTTTTTTCATATTTATACAAATATTGTCATTAATCTTATTTTGATAAATAAATAAATAAAATACATATTATCGTACAAATGGCATAAAAAAAAAGGAAGACTGATAAAAATAAAAGTAATAACACATACTTGTTTTCTCAAATGACCGGTTATAAAAAATGTTTGAAATAATAACGGCTAAAAAAACAGGAAATGATAATTTTTATTTTAACATATTTTATAGTGAATGTGTATAATACACCACAAGAATTGAACAGATATCACTGCCATAAAATCAATCCGAAATTTGATTTTTGACACAAGAAATGAAAGCGTGAAGAGACATGTTTAGGAACTAGTCGGTTGAATATAATTTGCTGGTACATAACCACGTCGTTTTTCCCCATTTAATATTTCTACATACCACCAATCTTTATTTCCGCCATCATCTACTGTTCTTAAAACTAGCATACGATCGCCGATATTTAATGATAGGACACCCTTACTTTCATATTGAAAATCATACAAAGCAACATAAATCTAAATTAATGAGCCAAAAAATATTATTATTGTTGAATAATAAATAAAACAAAATAAATAATTGAAAAAGAAAAGGGAAGACAAAGAGAAATAATCTTAATGTTCTGTATTTTTTAAAATTGCTATATAATTCTGATAGAGTTACAGTGAGATTTGCGCTTGTATTAATTCAGAAAGCAAGAGCTAGTTATAAATTATAGAAACAACATCGCAAATCAGATACACAAAATAATAATGATAAATATATAGTATTGAATGAGACGAACCAGATGGAAAAAGTAGCATATTTACTTGTGATCATAATTATCAAAAATACTATGTTGCCTATAAATACATACTAAACAGTCCATCTTACAAAAAAACACATTGTAAGAGTGTAAAATACGACTGAAAATTTAGTGAAATTTCATTAATCGTATTCTCAATCTTATGTCAGCATTTGCAGTATTTTACAAAATTCTCCGGATAGACAAGAAGTGAGTAAAACTCTGAATCGTCCCAAGCGATTCAAAGCTTTTAAAATAAAACATAGAGTTTTAGCGATAATTTTCAAGGCTGCTCATGAATTTGATGATCGTTTCGATGACTGTTTAATTAAACAGCATTACAAAAAGTTTTGGATTTTTAAGGTTGAAAAAATAAGCAACAGTAGTGTTTCGCAGTTAATTTGGAAAAGGTAAAGATTTCAGAATCGAAAACTCTAAATAAAATTTAGAAAAACCAGCTAACTCGAATTCAAGCACTTGAGAACTTTCCGGATTCACACTCGAAAATATACTCGGCCATCTTTCGGTCTCCAGAGGTATAAGTTACAAGAACCCATGACTCTAGACTTTAACTCGATTAACGGTAATGAGTAAACTTTCGTGGCAATATAAGAATCTTGGTTCGCTGTCAATTACCTGTGTATGACTATTTTGATTTTCATTTGATTCCGATGGATTTTGTTTGTCTGATGACGACGATAGCGGCTGCGGCGATTCAAATGAATCTTCGAAATCGATCGATGCATATTGATGTTGCTCATAAAAAATTGCTGGCAATTGATCGACGACGTTCGGTTCGTTTAAATAAATACTCTCTTGTCGTGGTGACGGCAATGAGTCGAGCGTCGAATTGATTAAACTTTGTATTGGTTCTGTATCTGACCGTTGTAATTTATTATTGGCATTCTGTAATGGGGATGCTTGATTAAAATTTAACGCTGGATTTACAAAATGGTTTTTTGATAATTCACTAGTCAATGGTAATGATGCTGATGAAGATGAAATAAGATCGGTACATAAAGGTATTAGCGGCGTATGGCATATTAAACTGGAATTGTTAGATGATGTAATCGGAACAAGTAGCTTTTTTGGCAAAAATTCATGTGTGACTAGACATAATAAAAAAAGACTGATAAACATTATTTGTTTGATGCTATTTACTCACGTCCATCATGAACCGACGAAATTCGAGGATTTGGATCGTTTTGTTTAATAATACCCACGAGATCACCGCTATGCGCATTTAATTCCATTGAATTCGTGTAAGCAGCAACATGACGTTGTACAACTCGATACAAATCACGTTCTAAATAATGAGGTCGAACTCGGCGTCTTGCTTCATCACTTTGAACCGGTATGTTCTACAATAATATTTAATTCGCTTATTTTATAAACTACAATAGTTGAAAACAACTACCTTGTCACCATTGTAGGTGTTACTTGATGTTGGTAACATTGGTACATTGATGGTAATAGTGTTGTTATAAAACGAAGATAAAGTTTTTAATCTTTCCGAAAAATTTCTCGCTGTACTTGTCAAATGAAATAGCACTTCAGCTGCTTCATTACTTCTTGTTCTAAAGCGCTCAACAATTTGTAGCCAACTTAATTGTTCTGATGTCATCGATGACGATAGCGATGCTGTCGGAGATGTGGTCTAAAAGGATCAATCATAAGATATGTAGGTATACGATTCCAAATATAAATCCATACTTGTGCTAGTAAAATATTGATACCTATACGCATATGTTGCATCAATCGTAAATGTCCACCAATAAATGTTTTTAGACATGTCCATACAATTTGACTAGAATGTTCATATAATATAGGTAGTTCTTCTAATAATTGAGAATTTAATGCTTCATATGTCCTTTTAGCCAAATCTAGTACTTGTTTTGCCTAGAAGATATTGCTGATAGGAATCAGCGTATTTATACGAGACTGATGCCTATTACTTGTCTTGATTGATGATCTTTTATTTTTTCATATGATGATTGTGCACTATCATAATCAAGCAATTTATCATGTCTTTTTGAAATTAAACTTGTTGGTAAGATAAATAATTTAATTAAGGTATTCAATGGGTTTGCCACACACATTTCAATATTTGTACACTGGAATAAATAGAATGTTAGTATCAACAATCTGAATAATTTCATTGTCACTTACAAATTCTATAAATGCATTTTCTAATAATGAACGTTTTGCATGCACAAATTGTTGAACTAAATTAGGTACTTTGTCGTTAAGTAACAATTCAAAATCTTCAGCAATATCCACTTGAGCAACAATCGCATCCTGAATTATGAATGTTTAACATTAAAATTAAAATGTCAAAATCTTCGAGAACAGTGTCAATTGAAATAACAGATGTAAAACATATCGAACATGTTCATAAACTTATTTTCAGATAGGTACCAGCTTTACTTGTAATGTTTTAAAAACTATATACAGAAGAAGGCAGAAGTAGTGAATTTAAAAATTGTCCAACATTCATCAATTTTTTTTGTACAAACTTTCAATGATAGATGAGAAAAATTTAACAATAAAATCAGATATCTCTGTTACCTTTAAAAACTCCATACACGTATACGCATTACGTATAAATATACGAATAAATTTGTCAATAGCACGAAATCTGGCTTCTTCATAATTAAAATGTTCGTCAATAGTCTGAAATAAAGTATTATATAACGATAATTTTTATTCTAGTTATTTAGATCATTTTTATATTTACATGCGATGTTAAACCAAATGCACTTGATAATCGCATACTAATTCTTGCCGATTTTTTTCTCATTGTATGCATATTTAATTTATATAATTTATTTGTTAATGCTTCATCTTTTCCATGACGATATTTGGATACTAGAAAATAATTTTCACGATGATGACGTTTTTGATGATTATAAATCATAATTGAATGATGATGATCATTTTTTCTTAATGAACGAATTTTATTAATTGATGGTGGTGTTGGTGGTACAGAACTCGATCGTATAACACGAAATGTACTAATATGATACGGTTCTATATCATCATTCTCGTTTGGATGATCATTAGAACTACTGCTTACTAATATTAAATTTGATGAGGTAATGTTTGACATGATCTGATTATTATAAAGCTATGAACAAACTATGCTTGGTTTCTCTCCAGAATGAAAAAAAAAGCTGAAGGTTATTTGTTTTTGATGAAATATAAGACACATCAAAGAATAAAGCAAAATAATGAGAGGAAAAGAAGGATTGTACAATATATACATTATGATAAGTGTATAAGCAAAGCAAGAAGATTATGCAAAAAAAAAAAACGATGCATTTTTTTTTAATTTTGAATCTTTGAGTACGCGTAAGTGACTAGAAGGTCATTTTATACAAATATAAGACTCGCCAAATTTTATTTATACAATATGAACGTAGTAGCTATACCTTATAGGTAGGTTATTATGAGAAAGTGAAATTTTTTTTCATCTTTACACATATAAAATATATTTGTAGTTTATGCTATAGTTTTTTTTCATAATCAAAAAACAGAATAATGGTATCAAACGTATCAACATATCTATCTCTTTTCGACGTTTATATTCATTGATATAATTTGCCATAATGATTAAACTAGAGATGCTTTGTTTTAATGATGAATAATCCAATCCATATGATCAGTATCAAGTATTCTTCAAGGTAAAATTGAACATGTATTCACAACCTTATATTGCTATTTGTAGTGACTTTTTGTTAGATAATTTCAATCGATGAACCTTTAAGTTCCGAACTAAGATGAGTAATAGAGTTTTATCAATCCTGAACATTCGTAAATTCACGTTCATAAAATTTTGATGGTTGTCCTCGCCATTCTTCATTATCTTTACATTTCACCATTGAACAATCTTTCTACATGATTGTGCATATCAGCTTCAAACCTATACTTGAGTTTGATACATCTTTATTCAATATGAGCTAACTCGGATCTAACTAACGCGTTTAAGATGACTCAGAGAAAACTTTAGATAAAGTCAAAAGAGAAAATAACGAAAATTGTATAAACCTTTAATAGTTTGTTTCATATCATTGAATAACGAATAATTCGTTGTATCGGTTTCAACAGTAAAGCTGATAAATCAAAAACAGTGATGTATAAACGTAACAATTGTAAGCCGTTTTGATGAAATTGCTGAATTTTCTCATTGGATGAATGCTTGAAAAACTGAAAAAAAGTGTTACTAATACGACATAGAAAATGATTATTATGTCCGTTTATTATCATAATGTGGCGCATATTCAAAAGTTTCAGTTTGTATCAACATGCTACGTGAGAGCACAAAAATATTTTTTCATAATTCAAATTCAAAGAAACATGTTGAAATGTTTATTATTTTTATAGTGTTTCTATAAGTACATCGAGTTTTTCTTCATTAAAACTTCCTGTCATTGTATTCGACGTCGTTGTTTTAGTTTTTAGTAGATAATACTAGAAAAAACTGTTAATAACATAAAACTGCTAACAAGTCAATAATACCACGCTTACGTAGATGATGATATATCATGATCTGTTTCTTTAATACTCCTGTTTTCATAATAATTTTTTAATAATTGTTTTAAATAATGACATGAAGTATGAATGGTTATGTTGATTAGTTCTAAAAAACACGCTGCAAAGTTTGAATTTGAAAATCAAATAGACTGTTCGTGTCGATGATGAATCAAAATCGGAATCGCAACATCGGATGCACCGCATTCGACTGTACATTCTCAAATGTTAAACTAAGATAGAGGATCTTTACTTTGTATATTTCAATATCCCTAATATTGTGAGTATAGAGTACTGAAATATTTTACTCTAAATGTTTCTACTCTCAATATTAGCGATATTGAAATATGCAAAATAAAGATCCTCTATCTTAGTTTAACATTTGAGAATGTACAGTCGAATACGGTGCATCCGATGGCAAAAATCCCGACCGCTTGAAACTATAATATCCTTGAAATCTAAGTCTCCCAACAAGTATGTCACAGGGAACCATCAAAATGTAAAATCAATCTGCCTTTTCAAATAAAGCCTATGGGGGAAAATGCTTTATGCCATCGTTATCAGCGCACCGAGCTCTATGCATTCGAAAATCAGTGTGGTACTTGGGGATCGTCCCTCGTTAGTTAGTGCAGAGTACATTAGTCATAATTTCGCAAAAAGCCTTTGTTTTTTTGCTGTTGAATAATCGAGAGAGAAGTTAAATCATAGACGTTCACAACAAGTAATATCTTCAAAATATAAAAACATTCCTTTTTAACAAGAAAAATATAGACTTGAAATTTCCAGTAACTGACAATCAAAGTCGATTCTCATCAACCAGTCAAAAACTCACAGTCAAAATAACATCTGCTGGTGGTGCACCTAAGAGTCTTTGAAAAATCAGATTATTGTTTCAGATCCGTTATATGTCCCACTAAGCGTATTGATAACCTTTAGTGTCAATTACACATTCGCATAGACACTGGATCTTTATCTTTAGTCATCGAGCTGTTTCTGCAATTGTTCTGAAAATAACAAGATTGGATCTACGTACGTTCAACCAATATTAGAAGTGAACTATTCTGCTCTCGTGATAATGTTTGCCATCGATTAAGAATAAAAAAATTTAGTCTACCAGAACTTTAGATTGTGATGGCACTGCATGCTACTGATCGATGAGGAGAGAATTTTATCGAGGGTCGAATAAATTGTTTTTAATTTATTTAAGGTTGTGAATGTGCGTATCGTTGAACAAGATTTAATCGGAGACGGAATATGCCTAATATTGAATGATATTTCATCATGGAATAATAATGACGACGACGATAAGAAGCGTTGATCGCCACCACTATTACCAACGGTTAAGTCAGTTTCTGGCTGGTAAATTTCATTGGTCAACGGTGATGCCCACAACGAGCAGGGATATTGCTATGAAAATGAATACTTTGGCGGAACCGATATAATACTTCCGTTTTGCTGATAAATATTACTATTCATTACTATTCACTCGCTCTGACAATTGGTGATAAAAAATAAGCTAAACAAGAAACAAAGGATTTGGAACGAATCCAAGTTCATAGTCGTAATCTCTTTGTTTGCTTACAAGTCATTTTCGATAGCCTAGGACAATAATGGGATGAGTTGGGAAGGATTAGTATAAAGTTTCTACTTATTATAGACAGGTTAAAAATAAAAGATGAATGTTCAACACTTTTATTGAATTTACAAAACTTATTGCTTATGTATAGTTTTATTGTATAGATGCCAATGGTAAAGTAGCGCACAGTGCCATTAAGCATAGATTTATGTCAGTTCATAAATCGCAGTAATAGACTATTCTAATCCTTTGAGAATCATGTAACTGATTAAATAGGACAAAAAATGAATTGAAAGAATGCACTAACACTTTTACGCAATAAAATAAAAATACGTAACTCTTGAAAATAGTCTCGATACGTGCGTCATCACGATCTTTTCTCAGAAGTTTTGACCTGAATTCCAGCTATGAACTTAGATATCAATGACAATAAACGATGCTTATATTCTATTATCTACTTCTTAGATAAATGAAGGGGAGGAGTTTTAAAGAATACATCAAAGAACCGGCATACATTATCTTATTATACCTCTCAATGTCTTTTGTTTATATACATATATATGTGTCGGTATCAGGGCTCTGTATGATCCGGTCTGATCCCAATTTTTCGGATCGGATCATAACTTTTTGGGACCAGGACTGCTTCGGACCATTTTTGATAAAAAAACTTGGGACCAGAACCAATCCGGATCATAAATTTGTCGGGCCATTTCGGACCACGAAAATTTTTTTCCTCCTTTTGGAAGATCCATTTCCATTGTATAACGCAGAACTGTTTAATTTCAATTTTTATCAAACCTGAAAACAAACTGTTTCTTAATTAAATGTTTAACAAAGCTTATCCAGTCGATAAACAAAAGAACAAAGATCTCTAAAACAATTTCCAACCAGGACCCATAGTTTTGGGACAGGGACCAGTTTGAACCATTAAACTTTTTAAAAACTGGGAACCAAGTCGGACCAAATGGATTACAGTCCGGTCTGACTTGGTCTTGGACCATACGAAGCCCTGGTCGGTATATATTGTATATTTTTTAGTGAACGGATATTTTTTATAGCTGAAAAGTGAACAGATAACACTGTCTGAAGACTGGTTTTTGAATATATATTTCCATTGACTACTTTCCAATAGCGTCTTGTCATAACTTTAGACTGTGTTGAATTTTAGAATCGGCCGTGTTGACTGCGTATTTATACTTATGTTTTGTTGAAAGATGATGAAATTCATGTTCTACAGTCATATTATTCATCATGTGATGTAGATCTAGGTCTAACTTCCCTCTAGTTTATCGTAGATAACTCTGCTCTACATACTTTATTTTTTTAATTTCGTCATAAAAATTAAAAAAACGTTTTTTGATAGAGTGAGATAAAAAAATAGACGTAGATTGTTGTATGTTTAATATATTATACTTCTTCATAGAATAAAATAAAGCGAACGATGTAGTGAAACCAATGCGAGAAATCTTCTTGATATTAACGACCGTTATGTATACAGATATAGGCAAATAAAATTATGGATTATCGTCTGCCTATTCAAAATATATGTTTTGATGTGTAACAAGAGTAACAAATGAGACTTTGTTCTGTTTATGAGAGAAAAAGTATATATGTTCAAATATAAGTTAAATCTTTTATTGAGTTGTATAATTAGCAGTTATAAGTACTTGTAGTTTCAAACCATTTGCATTCATCGATATAAAAAAAGAAACGATTTACAACATATTCTGAATGAAAACTTCTTTCCATTAAATTTCATGGTAAGATTGGCGTAGAAAGGTAGCACTAGTATCTCGCTAATATATATCTCTCATTCATGGTATTCGTTAAAGCTGACTTTTTTCTTCTCATATAACAAGTTCAAGCAACAACAAATAGACAGACAAGCCCTTTGATGAGGAAATAATCACTTTTAGCGATTACACACTGCAGAGCGTGCCTGATTTAGTTTTGGCTATCAACTACTCATGGCATGCAGTTGTGCCGATTAATTAAGAATACATTTACCACAATCTTCCTAATTCATCTTTCTCATATTACTTGTATTTCAATCATTTTAGAATTAGATTGCTTAGAGATGACATTTTGTAACCAAAACAATTTTGTAAAAAACGTTCATAAAATAATTGACAAAAATGATAATTATCGTTAATAGTCATGGATAGAGGATGATAGAAGCAATCTAATTGTTGTTGTAGACCTATTTATAAAGAATTTTCGATACAGTATATGTTATCCATATTGAGTTTTTACGTCGAGTATGGATATAATTAGCATTGTTAAAACGTATACTTGATATTAAAATTTTGTTTCTCAATTTTTTTACGTATTATATACAGCGAAAGAAAACCGCATCTATTACTTCATATTACGTAGATGATGAGTATCAAACGATAAAATTATTACTCATTACTGTCAAACTTAGAAGTTCAGATATTGATAGAGAACAAACGGTGTGGATGAAACAAAAATTGGCAAAATATTTAAAGTCGAAAAAGCAGTATTTTGTCTAAATTGTTTTAACTATGATATGAGAATATTGTTAGAAGAAATTTTCAAGGTCTTATTATTTACTGGTTAAACCTTTTCTTGTGCTCACAGCAAGTCTTTTATACTTGTAATATTTCTCGTTAATAGTATAATGCTTTTAAACAAATTGATTTAATCAAATACTAATAGAAAGTGCAAAACCAGCCATTTTGTCCCAAAACTTCCTTTAACTTAAAACTTCATTCTTCTTATAAAGGAAGCTAACGAGGGAACCTCCTGAGGTGCTAAAAACCTTTTTGAATGGGAATATTTTTAAAATGTAGGCCTTCATGGGCTATGAAGAATCCCAACTTGGTTCGGGCGCAATCAGCTTTGTTGCTGACATATCGAATTTTTTCCATGGTACCTGTTTTTCAAGCAAAAACGCAGTTTTGAATTTCATGTTGTAACGTATCGCATATACTCGCCCAGATCAATTGTAGTCCGATGAAAAAAGGCCGAGCTGAAAACCTCTTTCCGCAGCGATGAAAGAACTTTTTCCATATGGGTATCAAAGGTAAACCATGGAGCAAGTTTCGAAAAAGTCCTTTCACCGCTACGGAAAGAGGTTTTCAGCCCGGCCTTTTTTCATCGAACTACAACTGATCTGGACTACAATATGTGATACATTACAACATGAAATTCAAAACTGCGTTTTTGCTTGAAATGGAGAAAATTCGGGTAAAAATTCGATATGTCAGCAACAAAGCTGATTGCACCCGAACCAAGTTGAGGTTCTTCATAGTAGGACTGTAAAAGTTATCGTTACTTCTTCGACCGTTATCGACAACGGTAACTATCAGTCAGTTAACTTTGTGGTAGCTATTTTTTAACTATGGCAGAAATATCCAGGCAGCGGCTTAAAATGGCTTCCAAATAGTGGTATAACCAGGGGTGAGCTGAACCGGGCGTCGCCCGGCTACCGGCAGTCTTTGCCCGGGCACCAGGAGAAACAAAAAATAATTATTTCCATTAAGACAAAGAATAATGTTGAAATAACTATTATTTGTTTATTTATTTCATTTTCTTTTTCCTTTTTGTTCACATAATTTCACTTAATAAAAGTGCAGATACAGTGTATTGTCTCTCTCTTAAGAAAGTGAGAATTGAGCAACTGCATTTCAGTTGTGGAAAAAATTTAAACTATCGTGGATGGATCTTTTTAAAGGTCGTGGGGCACTGCCCTACCACCCACGGATTCCTGGTTACGCCACTACTTCCAAAATCGTTAGTTTTCCACTATAACTGTTGAAAGTTTCATAAATGACATGGTTTTGTAGTCTACTTTCGTTGATGAAAACAAAAAGATTTCTCAAGCTGGCTGTAGATTCTGAGGCCGCCAGAGACCTTAAAAACCGCAGTTACCAAACATTGAAGTTATATAATTTCGATTAGTTTAGTCGACTGGCACGTGTGTGCCAATCAAAATCATATCATTTATGAAAGTTTCAACAGTTTTAGTGGAAAACTAACGTTTTTGGAAGCCATTTTAAGCCGCTGCCTGAATATTTCTGCCATAATTAAAAAATAGTTACCACAAAGTTAACTAACTGATAGTTACCGTTATTTCAACGGTAACTGAAAAGGCAGTTACCGCTGTTTTAACGGTAACTGTGTTTCCAGTTAACGTTAAATCAATGCAACGGGAACTTTTACAGTCCTACTTTATAGCCCGTGAGGGCCTACATTTTAAAAATAGTCCCATTCAAAAAGGTTTTTAACACCTCAAAAGGTTCCCTCGTAAGTAGTATAGCAGATTATCAAAACAAAGCAAGTGAATTATGATTATAATTTATTTGAACAAGATATAAAAATAAATATTCTACAACAAATGTCTTAGTCCAATCGCTTGTACTTTTTTATCAAATGGCACCGATTTAATTTGTGTATCGGGTACATAGAACGGATTTAACAGCAGTTTAACATATGTTTCATAGATTTCTTGAAAAAATAATCTTAATGCTTCGTCATTTTTCAATTGTTCATATAAAATTAAAAATCGTAGGCCACCGGCTGTTACGTAAGCTGATACGGACCATTCATTGAATTTATCAACTTGTTTTAAATAAGTACTTGTATTTTTCCACATAAACTCATCGACCATATCCAAAGCAGAATGAGCAATAAATTGATTCAGATGACGTGTATCATCGCGCGACGCTACTACAGCTGTTTGTCCATCACCACCACGCGATTGGTTTGATAGCTCTGTTTCATATAAAACATTATCGGCATGTCCAACAATGACAAAATAATAATAATAGCCTGAATTTTGAGACATCTGAAAAACAATGAGGAACGTCTCATAGCTTTCGAACCACATTGAAGATAAATAAGCTAGAATGACTTCAGCTTATAATAATTCGTCATCTATCGTTACAAACAAATATTCAATATATAATTTTATTCAGAAAAAACGGTGTACATCAAACAAAAACGTAAGGAAACACAAGGAAGAATGTCTTGGGTGAAAGAAGTACCAAACGCTGACGAATAATGTACCATTTATAATTCTACATTGAGGCGTTAATCTAATATCTATCTACATCTTAAAAAGTGTGATTATGACGCACGCTTTTTAAGTATTTGCCAGCGCAAGGCGAAAAGCGGGATGGCAACAGCCATCGATACATAACTAATCATTAATGTAGCTAATTTCCACTTATGCTGAACTAAAACAAAAAAGTTACAGAGATATAACCATCATCACACGCGAGCATATACGCTCTACGACGTACTGTTAAACGGCAAATTTTGACCAGCAAGTAATTCTTGATCAAAATCACTTTGTAAATGACGTATAGCCGACGTACGAAAATTTCGTTGAGCGGTACGTGTAGTTACGGGTATAAGCGCTAGAAGCGGACGCATTCTTCTCTATATCCTCGCCAAAAAGTTTCGTCGAAAAATCTAGAAAAAACTGTATAAATTAATGAACAAGAGTTAACACAATGGCACTTCGGATGATTCACAGTGCACTATACTTTTCGGGGCAGTAAGAAAGAAAAACTTTCCTATAATTTACATATAGACGTCTCTACTGCACACTCGTCTCAAACATCGACAAATTGAAAGCATTGTTACTAGGCAGATG